TCACGTTCCTAGCCTTGCATATTAAACTCTTTGACTTGTCTGCCATGAGCACTTACCTAGAATGCAAGGTTTCCCAATGTGGACTCCCACAGCACGTGCTTAACACAGAAAACATGAGTAATAAACTGCAGTGGCTTGCTTTAATTTTTCCATGCTTTATTAGAACAAAGAGGATAGTACATTAGGTGATTTGTGGTCCAAAAAGAGGTCTTTCAGGCGATTGGATGGTGTGGCTCTCAACAGCTGGTCCAGCACATTTGGGAACAGCATGTAGAAAAATGCGTCAGTGTTTTGAAGATTACCAACTGTGATGATTCATTGGTTGTGACACGATCTAAAAAACGTTAAATTTCCTAGTCACAGACTATATAATCAATGCTCTTACCATCAAGGCACACACTCCCAACTCAAGACTAAGATTAGCACAAATTTAGTGAAATTCCAAAAACTTCCAAAATGGATCCGCACTCTTCAGAAACAGAAGAGTTGTAGTGTTCATGAATGCCTGGTATTTACTGATAAAAGCCAGGGAGTTAATTATGAAGCTGTCTTTCTAGGATTTACAAGGTTTATAAAAGGCAAAAGGAAATTCCTACAATAAAAGTATAAATTTTATCTTCATTAAAATGACTCAAATTAATGGTTTTCTGGAGATGAATAACTATAACAAGATTATTCAACCACAGAATCTCTCAAATTGATATGAATTTGGCAGGGTCTCTTTAATTCCTTTCAACTCTTCCTCCAAACAAAGGTTATTGTGTGAAATAGAATTCTAATAAATGCATTTTGCAGCTTGACCAACTTTTTATTGCATAAAATTTTCCTGATACTATATTATAAAAATAAGCAAACATACAGGAAACTTGAAGTAACTTTATTACCAGCAGCATTGTATCTACCAAATAGGCCTTACAATTAACATTTTACTATACTAATTTTATCATATATCTTTCCATTTATCCATCCCTTTATATAGTCATCAATCTACCTTATTATATTAGATTGTAAAATGAATAACCAATAGCTCATCCAGCAATCAAAATTAAAATTATCTAGACTTTATGATAATTACTTAATAAAGGAGGAACTGAGATAGTGGTATTCATTAACTCTTTCAACAAACATTTCTTGAGTTCCTGTTTTGGAGCAGGCAATACTCAAAGTTCTAAAGTTTGAAACTAAACAGACAAAGCCTTGTCCTCATTGAACTTATAATTTAGTGTCCTTTATGGTGAAGAGGAGGAACTAAACAAATGCCTCTCTGAAACATGCTGTATTCAGGAAGATATGTCAATGTAGATGAGTAAATTTAGTTGGGACTGATTTGAACTTAAATATTGTAATAAGGGCAAGAAGAATGTTTCATGTACCAATGTATTCCTGCCTATAAAAGAGCTCATATATAGCACTTCTCAAAATACATTTGTCAAATTAGTAAAGATATAAATTAAATTTTAAACTTTACTGTATGGAAATAATTTCAAAGGTATATTAAAAGGTAGCTGCACTCTAGGGATTAGCCTTAAAAGTAATAAATAAGAGCATAAAGTCAATTAGTTTAACAAGTCTAATTTTAACAATCATATATTAAATGATTTTGAGATATATATATGGATTTTAAAAACTATTCTGAATAATATATCTAGACTTAAAGCATTTATGGAATATATGAATGTAGAAATGAAAAATTTCTTTAAGCTGAATGTCTTTAAAAAAGATAGTGCCAATGATCATTTCTTCAGATATTCTTAAATGAGAATAAAGAAAGCAACCTAATCAAAAAGTGAACAGAAGAACTAAATAAGCACTTCTCCAAACACATACAGAATGTTAACAGGCATATGAAAGAATATTCATCATCACTAATCATCATGGAAATGCAAATCAAAACTACACTTCACATCTGTGATAATGGCCTTTATCAAAAAAGCCAGAAACAAGTGTTGTCAAACATGTGGAAAAAAGAAATACTTTTAAATTGTTGGTAGGACTCTAGACTGGTCCATACCCTATGGAAAGCAATATGAAGATACTATTTTATTTAAAATATTTTAGATCTAACAATATGACTCAGCAATTCCACCCCTCAGTATTGACCTAAAGAATGCAAAAATACTAATTTGAAGGGATGTATGCACTCCCATGTCTATTGCAGTATACTATAGTCAAGTTAGGGGAACAATCTAAATACCCAAAGATAGATGACTGGATTAGAACTACGTCACGCATACATACACATGTGCACAAACACACATAGATGTGCAATGGAATACTATTCAGCTATCAAAAAGTTGAACTCTTGCAATGTGGATAAGATGGATGGAACTTGTCAAGCAAAGTAATTCAGGAGGAAAAAGATAAATACTGAATGGTGTCACTTGAGAAACCAAAGGTCAGTAACCTTGATTTTACTGAAATCAAAGGTTTCAGTAAAATCAAGTCAGTAACCACCCCTGGAAATGTTATTATAGAACTGAGGGTACCAGTGGGGGTAGGGAATGAGGAAAGAAAAGTGAGAGAGGGCTCAAAGGACTATGAGAGTCTTGAAGGGTATGAGCATACCACCTGAAGGATGTGACCTTTTATCTCTACATCATTTACAGTGTTGTAAGCCATTGTGCTTCAAGTTAAAAAAAAAAAATGTTGACAGGGACAAGAATGAATTGGCACCCTCTGTCTGCACTGTCAACTGGAATGCAAAATGGTACAAGTCACCATGGAAAACATTATGGTGGTTCCTAAAATAATTTTAACTAGGGCAGCAATTCCACATCTGAGTATATATTCAAAAAAAATTGAAAGCATGGTATCCAAGACATATCTGTACACCCATGTTCATTACAATGTCATTCACAGTAGCCAAAAGCAATCCAGGTGTCTGTTGGTGGACATATGAAAAGATAAACAAAATGTTCCATGTACAAGGAATATTATTCACCTTTAAGAAAGAAGGAAATTATGATACACACTGAAATGTGGATGAAGCTTGAGGATATAATTTTAAGTGAAACAAGATTATAACAAAAGACGAATATTTTATGATTCCACCTAAATCCAGTCAAAAATTAAGAATGGTGGATGGCAGGGGTTGAGGATCTAAGGGGAAGGAGAGAGTGCTTAATGGGTGTAGAATGTAGAATGACAATTTTGCAAAATGAAACTAAAAATATAGACAAACAAAATTTTACATAATTTAAAAACTACAGAGTTTTCACAGTTCAAAAGTTGTTAGACCACAGACAGTGAAGTACAGTGATACCTAAGAGGCAAGAATCAAGTAACTTAAAAACTGATTTGTCTGGGTTAGGGAGCTGAGAAGATTTTGAGGTCCCATCACTGGGAGAGGGAACACAGGAGGCCAGTCTTGGAGCATCTAGAGAGCAACTAGGGATACAGAACACAGTGCTGGAAAGGAAATAGTTATGTAAGAAGAGAACTCCAGAGATTTTCAGAAGCCCCTAGCCAGATGAGTACTGGTGGCGGAATATATATGAGGAAACTAAGAGTGGGGAAGATACACATGAAAAGACTAAAGATAACAGTATCAAATGTTTACTCAGGATTGGGAACAGGGACTGTTCTCACCAGCCATGAAATCCTCATTTTTAATGGCCCTTACATAGAGTACACTGAATGTTCTCATCACTATAAAAGGGGACAGAATACTGTCTTGGTTCTACCAATAACAAATCTGAAAGGCAAGACCCAAAAGAATTGCACTGTTTCTAATAACTTAGCTGTCAAAAAAAAAACAAAAACAAAAACAAAAACAAAAAAACCTCAAGCATTAAAGAATGATAGGAATACAAAAATATATAGGATCCAGCTAAGTAAAATTCAGTGTTCAGTATCTAATAAAAAATTATCAGGTATGCAAAGTGGCAGGGAAATATAGGCCATAATGAGGAAATAAATTAGTCAAAGTTGAATCAAAACTGGCATAAATATCAGAATTGGCAAAATAAATAAAACTGAAGTGTTATTTACAAGTACCTGTGTTAAAAAAATTAAGTAGATATTTACAAGATCCCTGCTGAACTTCTAGAAATATAAACCAAAATGTGCAAGGTGAAAAATACACCTTACATGATGAATTACCATCAGATTAGACACTGGAGAAGAAAGATTAGTAAGGCTGAAGACACAGCAATATATACTAGTTAAAATAAACCACAGAAAGAAAAGATAAATATGAGTTGAGGATCGGTGATCTGTGGGCAACTCCAATAGATGTAACTAGGGCCCCCAACGGAAAGCAGAATCGAAATAATGGCCATATTTTCCCAATTTGATAAAATCCCAATAAAAGGCAATGTCCAAGTAACTCAATAAGCCTCAAATATAGGAAGAAGAAAACTACAACTGGTTTTATATTGAATAAAATCATTTGATAAAGAGAAAAAAACCTTACAGCCAGTCAGAGAAAATGAGAAATGTTAAATAGAAAGGTAACAGCAAAGTTCACATCTGAAGCACAAGCAGACTGTCAAGTAGTTTCAAGACCCTGAAATTTAAAACAAAGTTATCATAAATGTACTCTGAGCAAATTTGTAATTCTCACCTGTTCTCAAGTTGGAAGAATTCACTTCCCAAAGACCTGCACTACACGAAATATTGAAGGCTATCATACAGACAGAAATAAAGTGGCAACAGAAATATAGTACACAAAACAAATAAAGCATACTTAATAACATCTTTTTTATTCAAATTTAAAGTTCCCTAAGAGATACCTTGGGGATGGCGAGAGAGTGCAAAGTGAAGACAGTGCCACTTAAAAAGCAAAAGTTGCCTCCTGCTGTTTTATGTTCATCTGTATAGGAACCACTTCACACCACAACACTGCCTAGGCCTTGCCGCAAGGGTCCTGATAGCCAAGTTGCGGGCTCCTTAAGGCCCGGAGTGTCTCATGCGCTTGCGTGATAAGTGCCCCGCCCCTTCCCAACATCCTCATCTCCTGGGAAACAGCGCCTGAGTGAGCACGCAGAAAGAATGGGTCTATGGCTGCCCAGAAGAGCGCAGTTGTGGGACCGTTGGTAGGGGCAGTAGTCCAGGGGACTAACTCCACTCGCTTTCTGGTTTTCAGTTCAAAAACTGGAGAACTAATTAGTCACCATCAAGTGGAATTAACGCAAGAGTACCCTAGAGAAGGATGGGTGGAACAAGACCCTAAGGAAATTCTTCAGTCTGTCTATGAGTGTATTGAGAGAACATGCGAGAAACTTGGTGAGTTGAATATTGATATAGCCAACCTAAAAGCTGTTGGTGTCAGCAATCAGAGGGAAACCACAGTAGTCTGGGACAAGCTCACTGGAGAGCCGCTCTACAATGCTGTGGTGTGGCTTGATCTGAGAACTCAGTCCACCGTTGAGTTACTCAGTAAAAAAATTCCAGGAAATAATAACTTTGTCAAATCCAAGACAGGCCTTCCACTGAGCACCTACTTCAGCGCAGTAAAACTTCGTTGGATTCTTGACAATGTGAGAAGTGTTCAAAAGGCTGTTGAAGAAGGTAGAGCTCTGTTTGGTACCATTGATTCATGGCTTATCTGGAGTATAACAGGAGGAGTTAATGGAGGCTTGCATTGCACAGATGTAACAAATGCAAGTAGGACAATGCTTTTCAACATTCATTCTTTGGAGTGGGATAAAGAGCTCTGTGATTTTTTTGAAGTCCCAATGAACATTCTTCCAAATGTCTGCAGTTCTTCTGAGATCTATGGCCAAATAAAAGGTGGTACCTTGGATGGTGTGCCAATATCTGGGTGTTTGGGAGACCAGTCTGCTGCATTAGTAGGACAAATGTGTTTCCAGGAAGGACAAGCCAAAAACACATATGGAACAGGCTGTTTCTTAATGTGTAATACAGGTCATAAGTGTGTATTTTCTGAACGTGGCCTTTTGACCACAGTGGCATACAAACTAGGCAAAGATAAGCCAGTACATTATGCATTAGAAGGCTCTGTTGCCATAGCTGGTGCTGTTATTCGCTGGTTAAGAGATAATCTTGGAATTATAGAGAGCCCAGAAGAAATTGAAAATCTTGCTAAAGAAGTGGGTACTTCTTATGGCTGCTACTTTGTGCCAGCATTTTCAGGGTTGTATGCACCGTATTGGGAGCCCAGTGCAAGAGGGATACTCTGTGGTCTCACTCAGTTCACCAACAAATGCCATATTGCTTTTGCTGCATTAGAAGCTGTTTGTTTCCAAACCAGAGAGATTTTGGAAGCCATGAACCGTGACACTGGAATGCCACTCACTCATTTACAAGTAGATGGAGGTATGACTGTCAACAAAATTCTTATGCAGTTGCAAGCTGACATTCTGCATATTCCAGTAATAAAACCCACTATGACCGAAACAACTGCCCTGGGAGCTGCCATTGCAGCAGGTGCTGCAGAAGGAGTGGGTGTTTGGAGCCTTAAACTGGAAGATTTGACAGCTGTCACAATGGAACGTTTTGAACCACAGATCAAAGCTACAGAAAGTGATAATCGTTATTCTACATGGAAGAAGGCTGTGCAGAAGTCAATGGGTTGGGTTACAACTCAGTCTCCTGAAAGAAGTGATTCAACTATCTTCTCTAGTCTGCCTTTGGGTTTTTTTATAGTGAGTAGCATGATAATGTTGATTGGAGCAAGATACATCTCAGGTATACCATAATGTCAACTATGCATTCACAGGATGTGAGCTAATGAGCTAATGAAAGATCTAACGATTCTTTCTCTTAATATGACAACACTATTAAAGACTGGTTTTTATTTATAAAAACCCTTGCTGCATTGCATAACTTATCAAAAATCTACAGGTTGACCTGTGGCTTGAAATAAAATACAGTTGAAAACTCTATACAAGTATTTGGTATGTTATTTTTAACATCAACAGTTAATGGTGGGTCAATCAGTTTAAGGATTAAACCCCCCATTCCAGTTGTCATAGAATCCTGTTCCACTCCTTCTAAAATATTTAGATTTTATGTGTGGAATCTTTGGTCAAACATTACTAACACTTATGGGTTAGGATTCAATTATCTGTGCCACAGAGTATAAGATGATAACATGCCTACTAAAACTGAAGGACTGCTTATACCTATTCTTGTCTTTAATAGACCTCAAAAGTCCTCTTCGTTATATATTAGGGAGACCACATATGCTTCCTGGGTGATTAATAACATAAGTTCTTACAATAGAAATTTAGTACTTTTCTAGGAAGTATTTGCCAAATTAAGAATCTTCTGATTATCTACATGTTCTCACTAATTAATTGCTGTGTAGATACTTTAGGGAGGAAAATTTTCCCATTTATCTTTCCTTTGTATGTGTTATACCTGGTAAATATAATATGTATGCATATATACTTTACATAGGGAGCCGTTTATAAAATAAAAACTCACTGTAGCCAGAAGCTTAGTAAGACTAGTCTTCAGTGGGTCACTTTAATTAAGCAGTAATTAGGAAGATAATATTTGACAAAAGATTCCACAGATATATTCCACAGATATATAAGCTAAGTGCTTGTACTGGGAGAAAGTAAAGATTCTAGGTCAATTACCTCAGTTTCTCTCTTAAACTAAAAATAGATTAACAAATACAAAGTAGAAGAAAACTTAGATATGACAATACTAATCAGTGGTATTAGCATTACATAAGACAATACTAATCAGTGGAAAGTAGAAAAAACAGTAGCAAAAATCAATAAAACCAAAAGTTGGGTCTTTCAGAGTATTGTAAGACAGACTTTTAGCCAGAATGACTAGGGAGAAAATGAGAGATTAAAAAAAATAATGTGGAATAAGAGTGATGTCACTACAGTTTCTAAGGATATTAAATAATACTGCAATATTAGGAAAACTTACTGCAGATGTTTGAGAACTCAGATGAACAAATTCCTTGGAGAAAACAACTACTAAAACTTAAGGGAAAAAATAGATAACTTGACTGATCCTCTGTGTAATAAATACAATTTTTAATTTAAAACCTACCCACAAAGGAAACTGCAAGCCCAAATGGCTTCAATGTTGAAGAGAGCACACATATTCTATATAAACTTTTCCAGAAAATCAGAAAGGAAGGGATACTTTCAAATTCACACTGTGAGGTCAGGTTAGTAGCATTACTATGGTTCTAACACCATTACAACACATTACAACAAAAAAAACCCTGCAAATCAATATCTTTTACAAACATAGATATAAAATTCTAAACAATTTTTTTGCAAAATTAATCTAACAATATATGAGAAAGATAAAATGTTACCCAATGGGGGGATACATATATATATAATGTAAAAATTCCCCATCAGTCTTCTTCACCATATTAGCAATTGAATAAAGAGTATCCACATGAAATAAAGCTACACAGTGACAACTATGTCTAAAATTAAAAGATATCCATATTAAACACTGGTAAATTTGTAGAAAAACTGAATCTTTCATATGCTTCTGCTGGAAATGTAAAATTGTGAAAAGATTTCAGGAAACAGTTGAATAGTTTCTAAGAAAAATAAAATATACATGCTTTTATATATTTTAGTCATTTACCCAAGAGAAATGATAGCATGAGTTCTACAAAGACGTGTTCATACTCACATGTACGACTAAAACTTGGACACAACTCAAACATCTACCTACAGATAAACAAAAAAAACTATGGTGTAGCCGTACAATGGAATACAACTCAGCAACTATTGGTGCACACTACAACATATCTGATTTTCAAAATAACAAAGTGAAATAAGCCAGAGTTTATATATAGTATATGATTCCATTGATATTAAATTCTAGAAAACATAAACTACTATATAGTGACAATATGATAATGGCTGCCTGGGAACTGGGGTGGATGAGGAGTAGGCAGAAAGGAGAAGGAAGTATGGGGACGCAGGAAAATTATAGAGATGATGAACGTATCCGTTATATTAATTCTGGCGATGATTTCAAGGGTGACTATATGTTAAAATTAATCAAAGTGGACACTTTTAATATGCACAGCTTTTATGTCAATTATACTTCAACAAAAAATGTTTTAAAAGAGACAGAAATTATCTTCCAATACTAAAGGAATAGTTTGCCTTTGCCTATTCCGCATTCTGATGTCTCTGCACTGATCCCCACAGCCTGTGTGCCAGTTACCATCTTTAGTAGGTCTATGAGCTTTATTTGAAGTCATTTATGTGATTAGGCTGGAGAAGTACATGATAATGTCTAGTATCATTTAAAACATATTAATTTCCCATTTCACTTATCTGGTCATAATTTTCAGTCTGGGACACACTGCAATTGACCTTATGAAGAGTCACAAACAATGATAAAAGAAAATCAAGTTAAAATTCTTCAAACTCAGTATCTTATTCTAACTCCTTCTATATTCACTCCTGTTATTTTCAGCTTTTCTTTTTATATATCTTTGAGTTTTTAAGTCTCATTTTCATAATTCAACTCATGTGATATATTGGTAAATTAGAGTACTTTGCCCAAGGCTATAAAGGAGCTTCTGTATATTCTGTTATGAAATTAGTTAATTAATAATTTCTTTATATTGCCACTAAGCAGAACTACATAGTTAAATTATGATGATGGTGTCTCACTGCATGCATGTTATGAAACAGCAACTCATTATTTAATGTCAGGCATATGTGTGAATAAGAGAGCATGAGCGTCAACCCTAACAAGAAGAACAAAAAGCCTAATTTGATGCCATTTTTAAAGGTGCAGTTTGTAAGTGAAGAAAAGTAAGCACTAATGGGAATGGGGGAGAGAGAGGTTGAGAGAAAGAGGTAGAAGTGGGGTGGGAGGAAGAAAAGCACAAAGGAAAAATAATAGTAAAGATAAAGAAAAGCAAGCTGTACTATTCAGCTAATTAAAGCCACATACAGTATCTGCGTAGATGCAGCACTAACCTTTTAAACATTACTAGCTTATCTCTAGAAATGACAAACATCACTTAGATAAGCATCTTTCTTTCCTCACCTCTACAGAGATTCCTAAATCATTATCTGTCTGTGCCTGATTTCTGGTACTCATAGTAGCATTCTGATATTAATGCCCATAATCTCACAGGGAAACTATTGTGTCACTCACTGGTAAACCTTTGTAATCAACACATAAGTATAAATGTTGTATTATACAACCCCATTTAGATGGAATATTATGTACCAACTTTACGACTATTATTAGATACAGAAATTTTGTTTTTGTAGATTTATTTTTTAATCATGGGAACTCATAAGATCCTCCAGCATAATCTTCCAGTAAAATCTAAAATAAATGCAATATATGTCAGTCAATCACCTACTTCAACCTCCCATTGAAATGACAGCTTTATAGTCTATCCTGATTGCTTCAATCAAAACAAAGGAATAAACTTAATATTAAAATAATCTCCAATCATTTCTAAGAACAACCTTTACAGTCCACTTTTGAGTCTTCGAGAAATTGCATGTGATCCTTGTCATTTATGTATTTAGCATACATTATAGTACATTATATCAGCCTTCCACAAACTGATTTATTTTACAAAGAAAAGAAGGCCTCAACTTTTGTTGGTAAACATAATGCAATGATAGTATTAAAGAATTTATGTAATTCATTTCATGTTAATTATCAACAAAACTTTCTTATATTCAGTTATTGAATATGTTTTTCAAGCATCACAGGAAATCCAAGTTTGGGAAATATTTACAAAGCAAAAATAGAAAGGAAAGAATTACTTGGTCTATGTAGACATAGCTACACCAGCAGCTGCAATAGAGATCTAAGCAAAAACAAAGATAAAAAATGTTCTACAGTTTGTAGATAAGGACATCTAGCTTTTTCTCTGAGCTGAAGCAGGCAAAACTGCTAATTATACCTCCATTTCCACTTTGTATGGCAGTTGCAAAGTTACAGGGGAGGAAGCTGGGGATGAGTAGATATCCTGGCAAGGAAAGTTTTAGTCGCCATATCCCTTTTATCTTGGCTTGCTCCTCACCTCATTTCTGCTCTCTCTCCTCCCCAGTCTCTCCCTCTCCCCTCAACACCTCGCTTTCACCTTCTCTGTAATGTATGGTTGTGACTGACTTCAGGTGCTTTACACCAAATAAACTGATGACTTTCCCAGTTTTATTTACAATAATCCACAGACACCTAACATTAGCTCAGGTTCACAGTTGAGAACAGTGAGGAAAAGAACAAGAAAATCACCTTCCCAATCCAAAAACAGATATAGCTTTAGAAATTAGATGATTATTTAAGGTCTAAGATTACTTGTATGGAATTTAGTACATTTCAAAAAACAACTCTCTCAAAAAAACATCCAAGACTTCTTTTATAATATCAAAAGGATTTGAAATTGGATAGGACTTGTGAGATTATCTAGTCCAATGTCTTCTTATACAAAGAAGTGAAAAATTTAAATCACTTACCATAAGTCATAAAAATATATTAGGAACAAGGTTAAAATCTAAACTGTGATAGCCTAATGTTTCTTTAGTTTTGGCCAACTGATAGGACTTCTCTTAGACTTTCTCTAACCCAAATAAGTCTATTATGACTTTTTACAAGTCTAAAGTAAAACTGATAATAACTGGGCTTTCTTACAAAATTTAGTTATGTCTTCAGCAAACAGTTTGGTGCATACTCCCATACTAAAACATAGATCGAATTTTTATGGCCAATTAAGCCAGGT